CCAGACCTAAATGTTATTGAACATCTTTGGAGAGATCTGAAAATGGCTGTACACTGTCACTTCCTAGCCAACCTGATAGAGCTTGAGAGGTACTGCAAAGAGGAATGGGCAAAATTTCCAAAGACAGGTGTGCCAAGCTTGTGGCATCATATTCAAAAAGACTTGAGGCTGTAATCACTGCCAAAGGTGCATCAACAAAGTATTGAGCAAAGGCTGTGAATTTTTTTATTTTGAAATTTTGCAATTTTTCACACAAATATAAATGTATTATCTTACTATTTCTAAAAATGTTTGATGACTTATTAAATATTATTTTAATAAATGTATCTGTTTTGTTCAACTGCACCAAAATATAGGACCTATATTCACTAAAAAATGGATCAAAATGTTGATTTTCAAAATGGGGTGTACTCTTTCAAGAATAAATCTAGCTTAAAGGAAAACATCAAAGTTGTTTGCTTAATTTCATGCAATGACAAACGTTTTTGACTTTCTTCTGTGGAACACAAAACAAACAGTTCAGCAAATTTTCCATGATGCTCTTTTTTATACAATGGGATCATTAAATACAACGTAAAAAGAAGATAAACGCACTGTAAATAAAAACCCCTAATAAATAAGAGACTAAGCCGAAGGAAAATTATTGAATGAGTGAATGGAAATAACCACATTATTGTTGGCTGTTGTACATGTAAACATAGTCAAAGTTCTGAATCATTACACAAATAAAAGAAGATATTGAAAGCAGCACTCTTGAATCCTCATTTCAGAATCTAAAACATCAAATTTGGGGTGAAGGTTTACAAATCATTCCATTTCTTTCGGGTGGGTAATAATAAAATGCTTGCACTTCGGTGTAATCACTATTTGAGAGTTGCCCTGGGGCACCATCAATATTGATGCCCCGTGGCTTAACTGGGTTTTTGCAGGGACTTTCTCCCACATCAATATTGATGCCACTGCCACATATCCTCGTCAGCCCCTTTTTACATTTTTATAGCAGCTATAGGAAGGGTGGACGACTTTGTTAGGATGGCTAGGAGTTTTGGTGTTGCTGGAGGAATTGATTTTAGTCACACTCATTAGTTTTAATGGGATTATGATTGGCCAGGGTTTTGATTCCAGGCTTTGGAAAATGGGTTTTATTTTCAAATAATAAAAAAGTAAAGAGTTTTTTTTTTTTTTTTTTTTTGCACTCTTAAACAAGTTTATGTTAGTAAATGAAAAGACTATAACTATTGGTCAAAAACATATTCGCTAACTTAAATAGAAAAATAAAAAAATCACAAAAAATGACTAACTGATACTCAGAAAACAAACTGAAATGAAATAATGATTAGAACAAATGATTGTTTTTAGAATTAAATAGCACTCGTTCTGTTGAAAATCTGATTAGAGTTTTGAGATTCTGTTAAGAGAAACACCTGTAGATACACTTTTACAGACAAGCACATCAGTCAAGGGCATGATTTCTCTATATAAACTTTAAAAAAATGTAATCTAGACATGTTTAACCACATATATTATCTTTAATATAAATATGTTTGTCTTCATTCTTTATCAGCAGATCAGTGAAGATCATAATTACTGTATATAAACATTAATCATGTTCTAACTTTTTTCATTTGCCAAAAAATGTGTACTAGACACACGATCTTTAATATGAAATTTGACTTACTTCTTCATCATTTTCAGTTTTATTTGTTTACCGTTAGCTGCGTTTGTGTGGTCTTGAATTCATGTAAGCTGTGCAAACACTAAACTTCGATTAACACTGGACGTTTTCAGTTAACTCTGGTAAATCAAAAATTTTGACAACTAAAACTGAAACAAAATCTGTTAAAAAAAAAGGAAGAAAAAAATTGAACGCATTGACAAAATAAAAAACTAAACAAAAGCATATGTGTAAAAAATAAAATAAATTGTGCATATGAAGTGAGCCTCATACAGGTAAGTGGGCTTGACAAACCACCTGTAGAAACACTGTTCTCTCTAAAAAAAAAAAAAAAGTAAATAAAAATAATTTTCTGAGCAGAAACAGTTCCTTTGTATAATTAGCACTTCTTATGTATATTCCCTCTTGTTATATCGCTGAATGCCTTGCTGAATGTTAAATGACTCAATGTAAATAAAACCTAAATAGAAAAGTTTACAAAATAAAAACTAAGCTAAAGCAATTGTGTATAAAATAAATTGTGCATTCATGAAGTGAGCCTCATACAGGTGAGAGGGTTTGACAAACCACCTGTAGAAACACTCTTCTCTCTAAAAAATAAATAAGTAAATAAAATCACTTAATTTTCTGAGCACAAACGGTTCCTTTGTATAATTAGCAGTTCTTGTGTGTAATGCCTCTTTCTGTTGAATCGCTGAATGCCTCGCTGCAAGTGTCTACTAAATGTAAATAAAAACTAAATAGAAATGTGTTCACAAAATAGAAACTAAAGCTAACACCGGCAGCTAGCTCTCTGCTACTCTGACATGGTTGCCCATTGAAGCTAAGCAGGGCTGCTCCTGGTCAGTACCTGGATGGGAGACTATATGGGAATGCTAGTTTGCTGCCGGAAGTGGTATTAGTGAGAACCGCGGGGGGCGCACAACCTGTGGACTGTGTGGGTCCTTATCCCTCAGTATATTGCTCAGTAAGCATCATCTTTCGGATAAGACGTTAAACCAGAGTCCCGACTTTCTGTGGTCGTTACAAATCCTGGCATCCTGGCCAAATTTTTCCATCATGGCCTCCTAACCATCCACATATCATAATTGGCTTTATAACTCTCCACCAATCAGCTGGTGTGTGTTGTGCGGTCTTGCGCAATATGGCTTCCGTCGTGTCATTCAGGTGCTGTACACTTTGTGGATTCCCCCCAAAAATGTTTTAAACATTTTGAGTGTCCAGAAAAGCGCTATATAAATGTAAGGAATTATTATTATTATTATTATTATTATTATTAACCATTAATAATAAAAAGAAACTAAAACTAAACTGAAATTTACAGCAATTTTTGTATCAAAATAAAGAATAAAACAGCAATACAGTAATTATAATTGCTCCTAACAAGCAATGGTCCCAAAAAAGCCGCTCCAGTCTTTGTGTGCTTCCGGAAGCGGCCGCAGGGCAGGAGCTACGCTTCAGCAGCTGGCGTCCTGACAGTGAGCCAAAACCGAGAGACCTCGCATGCACAAAGACTGACCTCAATTCAATTTGACGTCTCAACTATTGATCTGGCTGCCCCAAACCCACCCAGAGTCAAAGCGCTTGCCCTTGTGGCCAGTGTTCAAGTTGAAGCGCTCTAGCTGCGGGCCACTTCTGATTCCTCCATCGCTATACTTCACCCAGGCCTCTTGTTAAATCGAGATTGCTTAGAGGTTAAACGTGTGTGACTCAAACGCTGCTCAACAACACCCCATTTGTTGGCTATAGTAGAGTTCGGAGCAATCACTGTCACACGTCTGGGTGATTTATGGGGCATGACAACAGATTTGTCACTAAAACCACAGGCAAAGCGTATAGTGTAAACAATGAAGCTGACTTTTTATCACTTCAAAGATGTAAGCAAGCACCCGCATGGTTGCTTCAGATATGCATGCGATTATATTATAAAAGCCAATATGCATCTGCATTGACATTTAACTCACCCACAGGGCACATGGGGCTGCAGATATGCTTTATATTCACAGTGAGGTGATATTGGGTGATGTTGAGGTGAAGAGGTCACTGTTGGACTGGAGTGACAGTTCTGAAATGAAGGTATAAGTGTTTTTCATACTAGCCGCTCTATAGTGAAACAATCTGGAGACTGCAAGGCCATATGGACGACTTATAATAACCCTGCAAACAGAGGTCAAAAAATTGTGCATTAGTGAATAAGTAAGTAATGGGTATTTATATAGCGCATTTATCATGTATGGCTATACACCCACAGTGCTTTACAAACATGACGGGGGTCTCTCCACACCACCACCAGTGTGCCGCATCCACTTGGATGATGTGACGACAGCCACAGGACAATGGCGCCACACACCAGCTATAGGTGGAGAGACAGTTATGGAGCTAATTCGTTGGATGGGGATGATTAGGAGGCAATGATTGTAAGGTCTGAAGGAGGGAATTTGGCCAGGACACCGGCGTTAGACCCCTACTCTTCACGATAAGTGCCATGGGATTTTGAATGACCACAGAGAGTCACGACCTCGGTTTAACGTCTCATCCGAAATACGGCACCCACTGACAGTTTTGGTGTTGCCTTCACTATACTATGGTATTTGGACTCACAGACAGCAGGTTGAGCGCCCCCTGCTGGCCTCACTAACACCCCTTCCAACAGCAACCTAGTGCGTGAACGGGACATGTGTTCAGTGAGGGCTTGTGTTCAGTGAGCCTAAACCAAACTTTTTGTATTTACTCAGTAGTTATAGGAACTAATTTGTGCACATTACTACATTGTGGATCTGCCACTTCGGAGGCATTGCTTGCTGTAAAAGTTGGGACTTGCTCAACTTTTCAAACGCCGATGGAAGCGTCAGCCGATCAGATCACTGTATGCAAATACACCAGCTCAGACAGTGGCCTATTGCTGACTAATTTCATTGGCTGACTCTGCTATGATGATCGCGTCTGCCCCAACTTCAGACACGCCCTCTGTCAAACGTTGACGCTGAAGCCCCGTGTAAATGGGGTGTAAAGCTGAGAAAAGAAAACGGCAGACAAAGATGATAGGTAAATGAAGCAAATTTTAGCTTAATGTATTTTGTTGTTTTAATACAATGCAGTGTTAGGCCTAATTCAGACTTTTGCGGACCTCTGCCTGCTGTGCACACACCTTATGAAACGGATGAGGCTTTTTGACGTGTTCGGTGTATTGATATACATTAAAACAACAGGGGGCAGTCAAAAAAAAACTGACCATAAAATTAGACAGGATAGAAGTAGGACGTTTCCGGAACTACGTCATATCATTATGTAGCAGACCCCATCCGAATGATGGCCGAAACTTTACTGATGTTTCAAGTTGCTTTATTTACATTCCTTTACACTTGAAATCACCGTAAGAGCTGAGCAAAACAATACAAAAACATACATCAGCATTCTTAGATATCTTCACAAAATATGTATTTCTCACTAACAATATATGATGAAACAAACCTTATGCCTTTTCGGGGGGTTGCTGATTAAACTTGTAAACAGTCCTTTTCAGTACGAGCTCTAGTTAAACTGTTATGAAACGTCCGCTTTACCTTCTGCTCTCTCATTTATTTTCTGCTCTGAAAAACGGAATTCCTTTCAAAATAAAAGTCCCCCACAAATAATAGAAATTAAATGATCTTTAAACATGAAGAAATGCAAGATAACACCTTAAGTCTGTTACACTCCCACCAAATTATCAATGTTCCTCAAACATAACTAATTTCCAATTATAACCCTCTTTGGAAGTGTATAAAGTGCAATAAAGTCCCATTGTAAATGCATTCACTCTGCTTCCAACAACAAGACCAACTTTTGAGCTGGTCTATCTACTATTGAGATTTTATGCATTCTTTCTCCTTTCTTGTTTAATCTCTTGTCGCCAAGTGCTACTTTGGCTTTTCTTACAAGTCCATCCGGGCTCAGAACAGTCTCTATAATCCTCCCTAGTCTCCATTCACTCCTAGGCAATGTTTCTTCTATATCCATGACCACATCACCAATTTGAAGGTTCCTTTTTGGAGCATGCCAGCGTTGCCTTGCAATGATATTGTGTAGATACTCCTTTTTCCATCTGCTCCAAAACTGTTCAGTAAGGTACTGCACACGTCTCCATCTCTTTTTTGTATACATATCCTCTCTAATGAACTTTCCTGGTGGAGGCAATGCTGTGGTGGGCTTCATGGTTATCAGATGATTGGGTGTGAGTGGTTCTAAGCTCTTGGGGTCATTCAGATTGTCAATCGTAAGAGGGCGACTATTGACTACTGCCATGGCTTCGTAAAATACAGTGCGCAATGAGGCATCATTAAGCCTGCCTGCTGAAAGGGTGATGGTAGCATTAAGAACGCTCCGGACAGTTTTGATTTGACGCTCCCATACACCCCCTGCATGACTGGAATGAGGAGCATTCAAAACAAAGTCACATTGTTTGTTTGCAAGAAAAGTTGTGAGGCGTTCTGGATCGAGTTCTTGCAATGCTGAATTCAATTCATTCTTTGCGCCTATGAAATTGGTACCTTGGTCACATTTTATTTGCCTTACTGTGCCTCGAATTGCAATAAAGCATCTCAGACTGTTAATAAATGCATCCGTCGACATGTCTTCTAACATTTCAATATGAATAGCTCTTGAACACAAGCATGTTAGAAGCAGACCGTACCTCTTGTGATGTTTTCTCCCTTCTTTAGTCATGAATGGACCAAAGCAGTCCATGCCACAATACATAAAAGGCGGCGAAGGCTCTACACGTTCTGAGGGGAGATCACTCATCCTCTGGCCTTCAGCAGATCTTCTCATCCTTCTGCAAGTCACACAGTTGAGAATGTAAGATGTGACCACTCTGTTTATTCCAGGTATCCAATAGCCGCATGATCTGATATTATTGATTGTGAAACCCTTGCCTTGATGCTTTACACATTCATGGCAGTGTGCAATAATCAACTTTGTAACATGGTGTTCCTTTGGCAGGATCCATGGATGCTTGAATGCGTGAGTATATGATGAGTGATCTAATCTGCCTCCCACCTTGATTATACCATCTTTGTCTATAAAGGCATCCAGATGATGAAGTTTACTGTGACTTGGAAGTCTTTTTCCTTGACTCAACACTTCAGTCTCTTTCTGATACACTTGCCTTTGTACTCCTTTTAGAATCAAGCATTTTGCATCTTCTTGTTCACTTACGGATGCTGGTGAATTGGTTTTATCTTTCTTAATCCATCTCAGAAGGCGTGCAACAGCTTTGATAGTCTTAGACCAAGATGAGAACTTGGACAATCGGTCTACAAGATCTTTATTTTCCATGGTCTTTGTGTGTAATGTCTGAATTTTCTTTACCTCTGGATCTCCGACTGGGAGGTCTGGCACAACATTTGTGGTTGTTATTTCCTTTTCCCACAAAAATGAGGGCCCAGAGAACCAATTAGATGAAAGCAGCTCATTGATTGTTCTCCCTCTTGAAGCGTTGTCTGCTGGGTTTTCATCTGTTGGGACATACAGCCATTGATTGGGTGTTGTACTTTGACGTATTTTTTGGACTCTATTGGCTACAAATGTGTGGAAACGACGAGCATCGTTATTAATGTAACCCAAAACTACCTTTGAGTCAGTCCAAAAGTATTCGTCGACATCAATGAGGTTAAGCTCTTCTCTGAGTATATTGCTCATACTGACTGATACTACAGCTGCAGTTAGCTCTAACCTGGGTATTGTGATAATCTTTAAAGGAGAAACCCGGGCTTTGCCAATAAGAAAAGAGCAATGAATTTCATCATCCTCATTTATCATCCTCAGATAAGAACATTGACCGTAACCACAGGTACTCGCATCTGAGAAATGATGCATTTCTGTTTTCACTACTTTTCCGAAATCAGCAGGTACATAACATCGTGGTATGTTCACATTTTCTAGATTGACAAGGTCATTTTGCCATCTCTCCCACCGTGGCTTGAGTGCAGGGTAAAGTGTATCATCCCAGCCAGTTCCTTGGCGACACATTTCCTGTAGGATTCTCTTGCCATTGAGAACAAATGGAGCTACAAATCCTAAAGGATCAAATATGGAGGCAACAGTGGATAATATGCCACGACGTGTTGTAGGCTGACCCTTTAATGGAACATGGAATTTGAAACTATCACTCTGTATGTTCCAGTGAATTCCCAGAGCTCTTTCGAGTGGCATTTCATTGAAGGTGAGATCTTTCGTTTCAAAGTTTACAGCACGTTCTGATTCTGGTATGCTTTGCAAAACTGTGTTGTCATTTGATACGAACTTGTGAAGTCGAAGACCACCCTTTGCACACAGTTCCCGTGCTTCCTTTGTCAACTGTATAGCCTTTTCTACTGTTTCTGCACTTGTAACTCCATCATCAACATAAAAATCCCTTGTGATGAACTGAGCGCCTAATGCGTGTGATTGGCTGTACTCATTGGCTAAATATCTTAGCCCATAGTTTGCACAACCGGGCGAAGAGACTGCACCAAATAGATGCACTTTCATTCTGTAATCTTGAAGAACTGAATTTGTGTCTCCATCTTTCCACCATAAGAAGCGCAGATAATCACGATCCTTTTCCTGAACGTGAAATTGGTGAAACATTTTTTCAATGTCACATATCACTGCAATAGGATGCCTTCTGAACCTTACAAGGACTCCCGTGAGGTTGTTTATCATGTCTGGTCCTGATAGTAAATGTTCATTGAGACTTGTACCTTTGAATTTTGCAGAGCAATCGAATACAACCCGTAGCTTATCTGGCTTTTTTGGGTGGTAGATCCCATGGTGAGGTATGTACCATTTTTCACCACTGGTTCCCTCATCATTTACCACTTCTGCATCACCTCTGTCAATAATGTCATTCATGTAAGTGAAGTAGTCTGTTTTGTATTTCTCATTTTTGGAAAACTTCTTGTTCAGATGTTGGAGTCTGATCGATGCAAGTTCTCTGTTGTCCGGCAAGGATGGTCGTTGCTTAAATGGAAGAGGCATTTCATAATGTCCTAGATAATTTTTCTTTATTCCTACTTTAAGTTTGTCTAGGAACATGATGTCCTCTTGAGAGACTGTCTTGTCATCTACTGTGATGTCCTTAAAGTCTGATTCAAGTATACGGACTGCATCCCCAGGTGTCATAGCTGGTATCTCCTTTGTAGCTATCCTTTGACAAAGACTGAACCCTGTTGATTCATTGATACTTGGTATGGAGCAGCCCACAATACTCCACCCTAAATCTGTTAAAATGGCATATGGTTCCTCATTTTTACCTAGTATGACTTGTCTTGGAGCTAGCACTCTAGGGCAGTTATAGCCAAGTAGTAAGCCTACTTCACAATTGAGTAGAGGTGCCATTTCGTCAGCAATTCCTTTCAAGTGACTCCAGTTCATTGCCGTTTTCTGTGTTGGTATGTGATCATAATTAGCTGGAATACACTCCTTTGTGTATACAGGAGGAAGACTGATATGTACTGAGGAACTGTACCCTCTCACTTGAAGATCCGTTACTCGATTGCTTCTAATAATCTCATTGTCTCCCATCATGGTGGTTAGTTTGAGTTTCACTGGGTGACTCTCTACTTGCAGTGTATTACTAATGTCTTCATCAATAAATGTAGTGTCACTCTGTGTATCTAGCAATGCATACACAAGCTGTTCGTTGGATGGATTTTTAACTGAAGACACCCATACTGGTACGATCATCGATGTAATGACTGACTGACTTTCTCTTGTGATATTAAGTGACATGGCATTAGTAGTTTCACTTTCAGTTGCATGCACATTGCTTACCATGGGCAATGGTCGTTCTCTGATTCCGTCCTTGTCATAATTGTAATCATGAAGACATGTGGGATGTCGTAACTTGCATACATCACATGTGTGTCGACGACGACACTCCTTAGCATGGTGGGACGATTTTAAACACCCGTAGCAGAGTTTGTTATCTTTCACATAGGCTCTTCTGTCTTTCAGAGACTTCTCCATGAATTTCAGACACTTATGAAGTTGATGACTGTCATCCTGACACAACATACACTGTGTTTTAGTCACTGTAAACTTTCCTTTGACTGTTGATTGTGTGTCATTGTTTACACTTGTTTGTGTCTTAAAAACAATTGCTTTACTTCTTTTAGTTTCCTTTGACATTCTTCTCTCATAAGGTGACTCACATGAATGAAGAGCATGTAAAGAAGTGATGGGATTACACATAATTTCTGCTTCTGTTGTCATGAAATTGACAAAGTCATGGAAACTTGGAAACTCTTTGTCATCCATAAGGGTTTTTGTGACCTGACGGTTCCATCTGGAAGCTACCCAGTCAGGTAGTTTTTGCACCAGCTTCTGGTTTTCTTCACAGTCATTTAATATTTCCAGACCTTTTACATGTGGTATGGCTTGCAAACATGCATTTAAAAAGTCTGAAAATGTTCTCAAACCTTCTGCGTCTTTGGACTGTATTTTAGGCCACTTAGACAGCTTTTCTCTAAACGCTCTTTGTATAACAAAGGGCTGGCCGTACCTTTTATTAAGCTTGTCCCAAGCGTCTTTGTACGCTTCTTCATCATTTCGATAAAAGGTGCCCTCAAGATACCTATGCGCTGAGCCACTCACATACTTTTTCAAATAATAAAGCTTGTCAGCTGCTGAAATGCCCTTTTTACCTATTAATGACATAAATGATGACTTCCATTCCACAAACTGTATTGGGTCTCCGTTGAACACTGTAGGCTCAGGTAGGGGTAACCTGTTTATGGCTATGCTGTCCTGAACTGCTTGAGCAAGGTGAGACACTTCACTGAGCGATGCTGACTGAAGAACATAAGATTCCTGAAGCTGCCTTTCATTTCTCGGCCCCTGCTTTTCACTTTTTATTGACTGATTTCTTGTTTCCTCCTTTATTTCTTCATCATACGATTTTACTCTGGCACGAGCAACCTCTATATCCTTTTCTACTTGCAAACATTCCAGTTCAAACCTTTGAGTTTCTAACTCTTTTTTAAATTGCTCTTCTATATTTCTTAATTTTTCCTTTTGTTGCCTTTCTGCTTGCATCATCTTGTATTCAGCCTCCTTTGCAGCCAGCTCTGCTGCAGCGTCTGCTCGTTTTCTTGCTGTACGAGAGGATCCAGAATGGCTGTTGACACTCATTAGTGAAGCACTGGAACCAAATATAGAGCGAGCGTAACTGTGTGCTAAAAGTTCACTTAGACGCCCCCTTTCTCTTTCTGCATCATACTCATCATCTACATTTGATATTTTTTCCAACACTATTTTGACAATGTCATTGGTCACAGCATCACATGCATCGATTTTACGTCTTAAGTCAGCAGCAGGAGTAATAAATTCCCTTATATCGATGAAGATTTTCATGATACCATTCCTTTTATCCTCAAGTGAATCAGCGATATCTGCAAGCTGCTTGTCAGATATGTCAGTTTTTAAATCCTGCCTTGCTTTACGAGCATCTAACTTCCATTGTTCATACAATGTAGTTAATTTTTTTTCTTTCTTTCTACATTCCTCTTTTTGATAAGCAAGCATTTTCTCTGTTGGTATACGAGAACGTTCTGAACGTCGAGGGAGTTCTGTGCTCTCTTGTACATGACACTGTTCTTCTGATGTATTTTTGTCTTTTTGTTCAATTGCTCCTTTTATATCTGTTTCCATATTACCTTCATTTTCCATTTGGAGCGGCCTCTCAGATTCTTGGTCATCTTCATCCATTTCCATATTGAACTCGTACCCTTTTACGTCTCAGCTCCGTAGACCATCACGCTCTATGCTGATTATAACTCACTGCAATGCCCTTTCCGTCGTCGCGTTATATCCGTCCGCCTGCGCCTGCCGCGAGGATCTTAATCAGCGAAGGTGAAGCTCTTACTGTAGCAGACCCCATCCGAATGATGGCCGAAACTTTACTGATGTTTCAAGTTGCTTTATTTACATTCCTTTACACTTGAAATCACCGTAAGAGCTGAGCAAAACAATACAAAAACATACATCAGCATTCTTAGATATCTTCACAAAATATGTATTTCTCACTAACAATATATGATGAAACAAACCTTATGCCTTTTCGGGGGGTTGCTGATTAAACTTGTAAACAGTCCTTTTCAGTACGAGCTCTAGTTAAACTGTTATGAAACGTCCGCTTTACCTTCTGCTCTCTCATTTATTTTCTGCTCTGAAAAACGGAATTCCTTTCAAAATAAAAGTCCCCCACAAATAATAGAAATTAAATGATCTTTAAACATGAAGAAATGCAAGATAACACCTTAAGTCTGTTACACATTAATATCATTGAACATTTTTAAAGTAATTATTTTTTATTATTTTTTATAAATTATTTGAATGATTATACAGATTTTTATAACCATTGAAGATATTTTTTTAAAGGGCACATAGTTTACCCCATTTTAATGATTTAATAATAATATTAATGTTCTTCTGGTTGTGTCAGTTAAGGTTCAGTTAAACACACAGTTCAGATGTTTTGGTAACACTTTACAATAAGGTTCATTAGTTAATGCATTTACTAACATGAACTAATCATGAACAACACTTGTACAGCATTTATTAATCATAATTGAACATTTACTAATGCATTATTAACATCCAAGTCCATGCTTGTTAACATTAGTTAATGCACCATGAGTTAACATGAACTAACAATGAACTACTGTATTTATGTTAACTAACGTTAACTAACATGAACAAACACAGTAGTAAATGTATTGTTCATTGTTTGTTCATGTTAGTAAATGCATTAATTAACATTAACTAATGAACCTTATTGTAAAGTGTGACCGATGTTTTTATTATAATGTGGTAAAAAGTGTCATGTTGGGGGCGTGTACACAGCTCACTGTTTTAGAGGCGTGTTGCTTCACATGAAAATTAATATCACAGGGAGCTTCTGTGATGCAACCGGCTGAAGTTTAAGGTAGATGCAATGAAAAGTACACATGCTTGCAAACCTACCAAAAGGTACAAACAATAATTCCAATTAGAGCGATCATGTGGTAAATGTTGATCTTTTGTTGAGCCCAATGAGCCTTACATCTAAAAATAGAGCGAAGGTGTTCCTTTAGTGATATCACTTTGACTCACGCTGAAAATGGCGGACGTGAAACCACAAACTAAGGATATGGGGATGCACCTGTCAATCAATATTGGTGGGCAGGGGCGCCGCACTCCTACGTCAAGTTGCAGTCGATCTAAAAACCGCTCCAATTGGTCCACCGTTAATATGTTGTTAAATTAAAAAAAAAAAAGGACTGTGTGTGTATTCCTCCTTCCCTTAAAAAAAAAAAAACAACCAATAGTAATTTGTTTGGTTGAGCTCAATCGCATATAGCAATAGTGTCTTAAATGGGACGGGACATGTAAGATATCAGAAAGCATTTATTTCATCAGAAGGTTTGATGAAAATCATTTATGTGGAGGTGACAAACTGCAAGTTTTGTATGTTTATATCTTCTAAATGTAAATTTCGTCACTGTTTTGGAGCACATTTCTTATAGATGTGTTCAAGACTAACATACTGATACTAAAGGCTGATCTATACTTCTGGGTCAAGCGCAAGTATGGTCCCACACAGCCTTCATGTGGTCACATAGCCCTCACTGTGGCTGACGCCGATGCTAATGCGCACCTCTCAAAAAATGTAACTACATGTCTTAACGACGCGTAGCGCAAGCTCTGTGATTGCTCGGCTTGGTAGAGGTGACGAGGGTTGGCCGGTGCTGAGAGCGCCTAGCCTGATGGAGTGATTGCTTACAAGTGTCGAGTCCCGTGAAAGAGCTCCAGATGGAAACTTTTGTTATTAGTGTTTACCTTATGACTAAAGTTGTTGCTCGTCCACCGGTTTCCGCCTCTGAATTAACGAGTTTTAGCAACATTAAGGTAGCGTTCAGAAAGAACAGTCCCCCGCAAAGAAACTCAACATAGAGAGGATCATAAACACCTACTGCCAGCTAGTGTTTCGGCAGTGTTATTGCAGTGAACACGAACAGTGCGCAGAAGTATAAATGCATGGCTACACGCAAGGCATGTGCCTTGGGGCATGGTGATCACTCGACACATAAATGTGCCTCAACACCTTCAGGACTTTAAATTTCCTAGCTGTTGGCAGGGGGTACTGCAACACCCTTAGCACCCCTAGTTCCCATGATAATGTGCTTTCATTCAAACTGTTCACTGATAGTTCCTATTGTGTTGGGTTAGACTCTTTTCTGAAATAAAAGCTAAAATACCTACTTTAAAACTTATAACTTAAATCGTTCCTAGTTAATTAGGTGCATGATTTTACCAACCCCATCCAGAATGCTAAGAAAGCCCATATTTTTTGTGAGCACTTGGTTGCGTACTGCTCACAAAATAATCAGTCAGTAAATGTTCTCTGAAATGGCCAGCACTGTCATGAAAAATACAGGTTAATGACCAAAATAAAGAGCGTTTAGACATTGTAATAAATCCTGAACGTACTATTTGAGCTGCAAAGAGCAATGCTTAGTGTAATCTAAATACAACCAAACATCTTGGTCAAGTGGAATTTAACCGTCAATATGGTGAGGGAAACATCAAGATTTGCAGCTTATCAAAAAGTCAAATAACTGGGGAAAACCTGTTTAAATTAGCCACATATATACAGTGGTGGAAAGAGTACTGAAAAATCATCCTTAAGTAAAATGATCATTACTTGCCTAAAAATGAAGTGCGAGTAAAAGTATCTGTTGTAAATATTACTCGAAGTATTACGCTGTAAAAAGTTGATGCATTTACATGTAATTTGTGGAGGTGTGTAAACGTAATATTCTGTAGTGCATTTAGTTATTGCCCAACAGGCACACAACATCGTAAGACATTAATATTAGGTTAGATTGAGGTTGTGACGTCAGGTGACCAAAATTCAATGTCTAGCTAGTGTCTAAGCAAAAGATCAAAAGAAAATCGGCACACTGCCACTTTAGCTCTCAAAAAGTCTTTATTATCATATTAATAATTGTCATATTATAATACAATATTAAAGACTTTTTGAGAGCTAAAGTGGCAGCGTGCTGATTTTCTTTTAAACTTTTGTTACAATTTTAATTTCTAATCGAGCACCTCCCTTCAAGATTATTTAGATGTGCGCACATTTCTGTTTTTTGCTAGCCAGCGTCTAAGCACAACATTATTTTTATGGGCAATAACGATGTCAAATGATGTTGATATTTGGTTAATTTTAGGTTGTGTTAGAAAGTGACCAAAATCCAATGTCGAGGCAATATCTTAAACAAACCTCATATTGACGTCAAATACTGACATTTATTCGTCAGGTATGACAATCAAAATCCAACCTCTGATAGACGTCATATTGGTAACGCCAACACAACATCAAGCTTTAACATCATTAGATGTTGATATTTAGTTGATTTTAGGTTGGATGTTGGACAATGACATAGGCCTGACGTTAAGTTCTGACGTCAACCCGATTTTCATATCAAAACAAAATGCATAGTCCCAATGATGTTGGGGTACAACATCAATCTGACATCATGTTGACGTCTTGTGCCTGCTGGGTGTCTAAGGCCGTTTCGGCCATCTAACAGTAAACATCTGTCATTGACATGCATCTATCAGTCTCTGGATCAATGCATGTAAAGATTTTGAACATCTTCTTTAACACTTTTAATGCTTCCAAACAGTTTGCAGCAATTATAGATAGCCCATGTGTTGACGTTGTTCATTATGAGGCGATTTACCTTCTATGTGTGATTTGATTGGACAGGAATCACAGGACTGTTTTTCTGATCCCCATAGACAAGACAAAATAAAGTAGTGACTGCAGGCTGAAGGAAAGTAGTGGAGTAAAAGTACAGATACTGCACAAAAAGTACTCAAGGGACAGTAAAAGTACACACTTTTAAAACTACTTAGTATATTACAATTCCTGAAGGAAAAACTATTCAATTACAGTAATTTAAGTATTTGTCATATGTTACTTTACACGGCTGCATATATATGATTTTTTTATGTGCATTTTTTTTTTATCTGCCCAAAACACCCATGGAAAAACCTCTGAAGGAGTGGCCCAATAATAATAGGGAGAAACGAGGTGTAAAAGTCAGCAGATGACAGCAAAAATTCTGTGAATGACAGATTTTATTTCGGTATTTCATTTTTCCAAACCTAAAATACAGAAAAAAACATACTTTGATAGAAATATTCTGTGAACTAATACAACAGGTCCTGCTTTCAAAGGTCCCAATGGCTTTTATATCCAAATGCTGCCTTAAAAGCTGTAGTGCCATGTTAAAAAAAAATGTGACAATGGGGTTTAAACAGTCAAACAAGCAAGAAAGTAACAAAAATACTTGACGCAACCTACAGTATGCTACACAATATACCTGGTCATTAAAGGCAGACTATTGGCATATTTGAGGTCTTGAGTTTTTTTGTGAATTAGGGTATCCTGGGCCAAATTAGCACATCTGACAGTCAAAGGAGATTGTTATCCCTTGGTTATACATAGACTTTGCTGGCTTAGACACATCAGTCCTTTCCTGACATTCCCCAGAATACACTATTTTTTTTTTTACCCCAGTGTTTTTCTTGATTCTACAGGGTATAATCACCTGTATTTTACAAGACGTGTGTTGTGCTTGGCATGGCAACATTCTGTCTAGACGTGCTGGATATTTGGATGCAGCTGAGAAAAGCACGGAAAGTGAGGGTTATCTGGCTGGTTTCAAGTGCCTCTTTCAAGTCTTCCAACTTCATCAGACACCTAAATGCAAAATAATCAACGAGACAAACAAAATGTCACCTCAGTTGTCAGTTCCACAAAATGCTCCCGAGAGATCAGTTGCCTGTCCTGCTTTGGCAATGGCTTTCTCTCCAACGACTCCTGCAAGAGTGCTGCCTGTTTAAAGGTGGGGGGGGGGGGGACGTAAAACAAACCTTGTCCACCCTAAATGTAGCTGCTGGGAGATTTAACTTCACCACACAAATACAGACAGAATCTCGACTCTGTCGTTAATACAAGTGGTGGAGTTCTCGAGGTCCGTCTACAGTTAATAGCATTTTGGCATCAGCTTTAATGGCTTCTGGTTGAGTCAATACTGGACGTTGCACTTTGGGCCAAACAGTCCTCGTTCTTAGAACGCCTCTGCAGGAAACAGTTCGGCTTCTGCATGAACGCTGTTGTCCATTCCCACTGATAGAACAAACGGCTGGTGCTTCAGATAAGTGAGTGGGTGATGATGTGGCAGAAAGGGGCATGACTTGTTTACAGATTCTCAGTATTGGCCA